CGCTCTACACATTTGTTAAAGGTTTTTAAAAAAAAGTTACAATGTCACAATTTACTTTCATTTACTTATTGTTGTGGATTGAAATAAAAACAAATATAAATAAATACTGATCTGTAGGCAATGAAATTATAAAACTGCTCATAACAGCACAAACAACAAAACGATGAACCTGTTTTTATACAGTCTATGGTTACAACCGAGACAATCATTTATGGCTTTTTCCACCAGAGGGCAGCATTGGATCAACTAATACCACACTGCATGGCTTTTTTGAGATCATCAATGGGTTGGTGAGATAAAAACAGATTGTGTTTATATGTTAATGTGGATGTTTATATATAGACTATGTATGTAGTTATATAAAATATTTATTAAGGCGTTGGGGATTAAAACTCATTTTTTCATGCCAAAACGCTTGAAAAATCAGAGTATGAATCTAAAATAAGGAAGAGTAAGAGAAAGAGGTAGGGCAGGGAAGAGAAGAGAATTACATAACAATAGCATGTTTGTGCTGAGGTCAGCCCTCTCCCTCTCCCCACACTACTGATCTATATTCAGCTTACATCAGTCAAGTCTACATACTAAACATACATGCTTAATCTTAATCACAGAACACAATTTCACAGGCTACAGGGCTCTTCTTTCCCAGGTGACTGTACTTATTATTTTTTATTCATTTATTTTTTAAGTTAGGGTCGGAGTTTCACTTGCATAGTACAAAATTACAATAAAATGTAAATGTACACCGCACAGTACAATTCTTGGTTTTGTACATGCTGCATAGATCCCATATAGACAGAAAATGCATGCAGATCCATAACAAATTTAGTTGCACCTTAGATCTATATTCAGCTTACATCAGTCAAGTCTACATACTAAACATACATGCTTAATCTTAATCACAGAACACAATTTCACAGGCTACAGGGCTCTTCTTTCCCAGGTGACTGTACTTATTATTATTTTTTATTCATTTATTTTTTAAGTTAGGGTCGGAGTTTCACTTGCATAGTACAAAATTACAATAAAATGTAAATGTACACCGCACAGTACAATTCTTGGTTTTGTATATGCTGCATAGATCCCATATAGACAGAAAATGCATGCAGATCCATAACAAATTTAGTTGCACCTTTTCCATTTTCTTTGGGGTAATTGAAAGTATTTGTCTAGCCGTCTCACACCATCACATATTTAGGAATTATTGTTGTATTGCCTTTTAGAAATGATGCATCTCCTTACTTATTATATCCGGCTTGCACACAGAATTCCTGTAATTTAATATTGCATTCAGGCAAACTGTAAACAGCTTTAGTGATCATGCATTGAAGTTATAGTGCAGTCATGGTGCTGTCGATAATTGAAGCTTTGGTCTGATGGCTGGCAGTCTAAAATCTCATTGAAGACAAAATCCCAAATAGACAAAGACCCCCCCACCAATCTAATGCCCCCTCCCCATGCTAGATACAAACTCTTCAGCCAATCACAGTACAGAGGGGCGGTTTCAAATGATGCCACTGGGTCTAGGTTCAGTTGAAGGCTTTCTCTATTCTTCTGAGAGTGCATCCACACCATGCAACAGCTGTTTCTTACCAATGTGTACATATAGAGACAAACCCCTGAAATCCTATGTAAAAAAAAACACTCAGGAATCTACACACACACACACACACACAAAATCTTACAATTGAAGTTGTAAATAAAAAAAATTGGAGTATATTTTACAAGAAAATACTATTTTAGTTGTTCTACTTCAAAATGTTTAATTCAATGTGTTGAATGTAGTGAAAATATATATATATATTTTCTGTGAACTTTAAATTTTATGTGCATTAAAAAAATCAAGTGCAGTCATTTATTTCCTGCATTTAAGACAGCAATTTCATTTAGTTGTAGTTAATTAGATGTAATACAAGATCCTCTTGATTTAATTAAAAGTCTTCCTACACTCAACAATAAGGATGGCCCAATGACTCAGGACCATTGCAAGTTTTGACAATTATTAAAAAGGTTACTATCTTATGCAGATCTTTTTGGCATGCATTCAAAGTGCATTAAATGTAAGTGTGACTGACTTTACTATCATATTGTATGCATTTCTAAGTGAAATGGCTATCAAACAAGATTTAAAAAAAAACTGAAAAGTGAGTGTTGCATCCTGGAATATAGGCCGATCTGAATGCATTTGGTTTAAATGAAGTGTGGCTTGAAGTGTCAGCAGAGAGAAGTGAGCATATCAAAGGAAGAGAAAGTTCTGATAAAAAATTATGTAAAAAAAAATGTTGTTCATCTGTGCATTGTTTTTTTAATTAACGCACAGATGAATCACTCACAATAAGACCAGTAACATGCATTAAAAATATACATAGGGTCCCATTTTGATTTTGTGATTACTTAAATGGTGCCTAATAGTGTGTTTGTATATTTGGGTGGCAATGTGAAGATGTGTGTATTGCAACTGGATGGCTGTAGTTTTTAAACCAATGAGATTAAGGTTATTTCAGATCTGGTTTATTTCAGATTTGAGCCAAAAGCACACCCAATAAAGGCTGTTGCTGATTTAGTTTAAAAAAACAATGTGGACAAATAGATTCTGAGTTTTAGAGCAAGTAAAATGCAATAAACTTGCTTCTGTGCCACACCCAGACCAAAACGTTCACAGACAGTGAGATGAGAGACAGACTGAGAGAGGGAGAGACATAGACACTGCTTGTTCTCAATGTAACTGCAGTTACACAACTCTCTGACAAAGAGAAAAAGAGAAATGAAAGAGATTGAAGAGAGAAAGAATCACAGACAGGATTAGGAAGTGGGAACGAAATAATTGAGTGTGTGTGGCATAGATTAGCTTCATTAGGATCAGTGGGTCACCGGTTGTTTGGAGCTGTCCGACTTCCTGTGATTCTATGGGAATGGAATCTGGGTCAGTGGTTGGCAGCGGTGGTGCCGGTACGGGCTGTATGTCTGAGAGAGAGAGAGACACTGTTTATGTGTGGATTCTTATGTAATAGACTTTGAATAAAAAGGAAAATGGATTGATATGACCTTTTTAGCACTGATGGAAAATAAACACACCGGATTCCAATAATAGCTGCACCAACAAAAATGTCCAGTAGATAAAAGTTACAACTTTTCTACTGGAAGCAGGCAAGTTTCATATCTAACTTTACCCATAATTAAAAAAAGATTTTTTTTTCACCAAAAAAAAAAAAGAAAAAAAATGTAAGACGACTATATAATATATATAAATAAAATGTTAATATATATATATATATATATTTTGGTATTAGCTGATAATAGATATCAATATAATTGGATCATCATAAATCAATACAATGAACTAAACATTTATATTAGAAATCAACTTTCTAGTATTGACTTATAACATTGTCCAGAATTTCATAATATAAAATGTTAATATATATATATATATATATATATATATATATATATAAAATGTTATATGTAAATGTTTTTTTTTTTAAGAAATGCTTTTGAAAGGGTATTACTGTATAAAAAAAACAGTAAAACATTAATATCGTTAAATGTTATTACGATTTAAAAATGTAATTTAAAAATATATATTTACAAATTAAATTTCCAGCCATTACTCCAGTGCTCAGTGTCACATGATCCTTCAGTAACCATTCTAATATGCTGATCTGGTGTTCTAGAAACATTTATCAATGTTGAAAACAGTTGTGCTGCTTAATACTTTTATGGCATTCGTGATACTTTTTCCAGGATGTTTTGATGAAAACAAAGTTCAAAAGAACAGCATTTATTTGAAACTGAAACTTTTCTAACGACACACTAAACTAATCCCAATGTGGTGAAGGAATTCAAGCATACAGGAAAAGGCATTGGGCTGCTTGCATCACTTCCTCTTTTGGCTTCCTGCATCCCAAAGTGCACTTCTCCCACTTCTGCAGCTCAAAGAATTCATTTGAACAAATGAGACATTTGTGACTACATTTAAAGTGTGTGTGTGAGGGAATGAATAAGCTTCTGTATGTGACTGATAAATGTTGTTTTTATTCAAATTGCAAGTAAAATGATACTCCCATAAGCACAAGTCAGTGTTCACGTCTCTACTGTGTCACTGTTTAACATGTTGTTCAGGATAAAAAGGCTAAAGGTGATTTTGAACTACCCGTTTTTCAGTCCAAACTACATCCTCTTTCTGCTTTAACAGCAGGAACACAGAGAGAAGGATCTGAAAAACCTCTTTACTTTAACCTTCATTGTTTCGCTGCATAAGACTGATGAAATGGTACAAGACAAACATCTAATTTCTGGCAAGGATCCAAAAATCTACTTTTCACCAGGTGAATCAAGAACTTAAGCTTAAACCATTTTTTTTGTTGGATTTTGTTACTACGTTGTTTTAGTGGAATTATGCCACTTACGCTATGTCAGGAACTAGAAAGAGAAAGTCAGCAATTTACAGTTATTTGGCAAGTGTTAGTTTTGGACCCAAGCTCTGGCATTTCAGAAAAGATTGTGTACTTGGGAAAATGTGCTCCGAGACACAAATTTCATTTAAAAACAAAAGGGGGAAGGAACCATGTGTCATTTTAGATGCTTTATTCTTTAACAAAATAGAATCTCTGTGCAGTTTTGTGAGTAGATACAGGAGGAGAACATCCTCTGAATACAGTATTTACAGCAGATTTTGTACAGATCAAGTTATGAACAAGACACTTCAAATTTTCTACACAACGTGTTTGAACACCATGCTCCCCTCACATAATACCCTGCACACCACCCACCCTTCTTGCTATGGAGGTAAATTCACCAATATAACTTCCTCTGCATCTCCATCCGCTGAGGTTTATAAAGGCATTGCATGTACACTAAAGCCGAGCACAGACATATACAGAGCCCTTCAAGGAGGGCATAGTTCAATGTGGCTTTAAAGATCTCCCTGCAGTGTTTTAAGTGTCATTTTAGCGAATGACAACGAGTTCTTGTCCATAATGAGCTTTGGAAATATTGTGCCATGTTAAAGCAGACGTTTATTAGGAGTTCTGTAATATGCTGATCCTGCGGAGAAGCTGTTGTTGTTTGGCTTTGAGTTTTCTCTTCTCCTGAGCTTGACGCCGTTGGCGCGCATGCAGCTGCAGCAAGTATTCCGTTGCCTGTGTCAGAATCGCCACCTTCGAGGTCTTTGAGGATGCAGACAGACCTGGAATCTCCTCCCGGAGCGCCTGGAACCTCGAGCGAAGGTCATCTCTCCTCTTTCTCTCCAGGAAGTTCCGACGCTGCTCGCTGGAGTCCTCAGAGTCTGATGTGGCAGGTGAAGAAAGTGGAGATGAGGGAGAGGATGAAGGCTCCAGACGTGGCCGTTTGCTCACAGACTCAATCTCATCAAAGTCATCCTCCGGATCTGTGTCGGGGGAGGGGGCAGCGTAATTGTGCTGCTGCCGATGCAAAGACACGTGGAAGCGCTTGGGACATGGTCCAAATGGATCAGCGCTTACGGTAATGGTTACCGGTGTACGGCGACTTGGAGGGCGGCCACGCTTTGGTCGGTTGTCCACTGTCACCACATCAATCTCGTCATCATCCTCATCATCATCTAAGACAACAAAAGGTTTGGCACATTTAGCAAAAGCAAATGCCATCAGTGCATCCACTGTATAACTATTAACCAATGTGTGATTGTTTACACACTTCACCTCACTAATAAGTCACTGTTGAATGTTTTACAGTTTTTGGCAAGGAAGATGCACTCCATCTCTACAGCTACATGAGCTGGTTTTTAACACAATGTCAGCTTCTAAGGTCATTTCAATGGCAAATGAATGTAAAACTATCAAATTACTTGTTTAAAACCCATTATAATAAGGAAAAATTATCGAATCGGATGTGTGGCCAGTGTTGTTGTTGTTACCTAAAGCGATTAAAAACGGCTTTCGTAACTGAAAATTAAATATAAACTTGAATTAGAAAGGCTGTCTTGGCAACCAAGTAAAAATATAATTTAAATAATAAAATGTTATATATACACTAAAAATAAGTCAGACAAAGTTTTTTGAATGGAAATGTTGCATGACCTTGCCTGCAGCAAAATGTTAAGTGTGTCTGGTGATAGGAACGGAGTTTCCCCTCACTACTGTGCAAGGAGTAGGAAAAAGTGGAAATGGAATGGAATACAGCATTTTAATGAGGAAAATGGAATCCGCTCCACTAAATCAGACTCCACATCAGCTTTTAGTCGGCAAGTGGCTTGGTCACAGGCAAAGCCTGATGTTTTGGCTTCTTGTGGTATAATTTTCTTTGGAGATGTACACTAACCAGCTGTCAAATTTGGTCTGAATTGCAAGTTAGATATTGATTACTTGGTTAACACGCATCTTCATAACATCCTATACAGCAGACCATCACCTCATTGTCTCAGCATTACTCTGAAGTACATATCGACTCATGCCATCAATGTTAGAAGGTAATAACATGTAGTCACTTACCGTACGAATCCGAGCGACACTCGGAACCGGAGGAGCCTGCAGCTACTTTCTTGTTATGCGGGACAGGGAGTTCCAGGACTGCGGCGGGGTTTACACACTGTGCCGCCTGGGTCTCAGTCACGGGCGTGCCCGATGCGGAAAGAGCAGCTTTCTGTGCAGTCGAGGTCTGAATCGGAGCAGTCACCGGTGCTCGCTCGCCATGAGCCACTTTTTCCAACCGGTGACTCGTGGAAAATCCGCTCCACATGCAGTCTTTGATAACGATAGAGCCCAGATTCCCAAAAATGTCCAGTGGGTCGAACTTGTGCAGCCCCTCGTACTCCTCATCACATGTTAAAACCTTTGGCGGCGCCCACCCGAGCAGGTGCCCCGGTAGCGGTAGTAGCCAGTCTCCATCCAGCGTTCTTGAGGGCGACATGGGCGGGGTGGGAAGCAGCTCGAATTTCTTCCATATATCCTCGCTCGGGGCTGTAGACTTAAAGAAATCCTCCTCGGTGTCCATCTCGTCGTAAAAGTAGTGCTCCATGTCCCAGCCGTACAGCGTGTGAGTGACTCCAGGCATTGCTGCAGAACTTCTACAAGATTGTCTGTGAGGACAACGGGTCATTAGATCAAATGATGCCTGCCCACGTGGAGTTAAAATGCGTCGCAATGCACAAGCAAAACGCACTCACTAATTGCATGTACTCAGTCAATGCATTGGTAAAACTCACAATATACTTTAATGCACATTTGCAATGCTAAAAGCACAATATTTACATGCAGATATTATCAGTAAATGCATTGCAAACGCGATTTTTACACGCAAACTCAAATGCTCGCGCTTTACAAAATGCATTTCTATAGGCACTAACTTAATGCATACGACAGAATATTTCTGTAGCATATGCTTAACTACAGATAATCGCATGAAGCAAGCTCTTTGCAGCACCAGAACAACTAAAGTAACAAGTCAAGTGTATTAACACTAACAGGACATTATAACCAACCACTGCAGATTGAAAGTCCCACAGAAACCAACGGTTGCGATGTGAATGTAGTAACAGTTAACGTTACTCGATTACTCCCATAAAGATTAGACGCACTAACAAGGGGGTAACGGGAGCTCCCGGTCCGATTAAAGGACCCTGGAAATGTTCAACAGCCCACGAGTTCACGCCAAGGTTTACTACGAAATTAACTTTGAATTGACGTCAAATCAAGTTAATGGTATGCTGATGTAAAAACGCACTTACCATGGGGTAGCAGACCTGCAAAGTCCAGGGAGAGTCTACGGGACGCGCAGAACAGGACAAAGAAGCGCAGCGTCCGGTAGAACTCCGGTAACGTTACACACGCGCTCACTAAACAATAACGCGCGACTCCAGCCGCCTTTTTAAAGGACGTTTAACTTGAACAACGAGAAAAGTTATTTTTCCCCTTGGGGAAATAAAACGGGTGTCCTGTTACAACGGCAGCAACTATCGATCCGCGTGGTGCAGTGCAGCCGCACCCTCCCCCAGCCCGCTGCCGGTAAAAGCGCTTTCGCGCCAGATCTGGGTCTTTGTGTGCGAAAGCTCAGTTTGGACCCACCCACCGGAGGCGCTGGGCGGGGAGAGCGTGTGAACCGCCGTTTATTGTGAACGTGAAGGCAATTTGCAGCACTAAAACAAGTATTTCAATGAAAATAGAAGCCTCTACTTCACTACTCCAATCTAATTATGCTTGAGCTGATGCGTCGTTTTAATTGGCTTCTAATGCACGACGCACTAATCAATATGTTGTGTCTGAACTGAGGACAGCACGCGCTAATCCTTACAAACCAAGAAGCAGAAGCTGGAATATCTGTATTGTTTTTTATATATGTTTGTTAATAATATACAACAGGTTTTTTTATGATATTTGTAGTGTGCTTTATTAGCATTATCAAATATACTGAACATCAAATCAGGAAAATAAAAAATAATTTAGTATTAATAAAGTTTTATAAAACGCCAATTCGAAAGCAATACAATGTAAAGAATGAAATTTTAAACATAAAATAACATTCAATAAAATTCAATAAAAACTGGTTTTCATCACCAGATTTGGGGTGTCACTGATTCTGGGACAAAAGAGGCTACACAACCTAGCCTAAAGAAAGAAAATAAAAGTTTATATCATAGAATATTTTGTATTAATCGTGGGTCCATCTCACCCCGCTCCCATTTTGATAAAAAAAGTATTTCCCATTAAATCTTCTTTTTACAAGAAAGAAAACTATTTACATGGTTGACATAAAATAACATTCAATAAAATTCAATAAAAACTGGTTTTCATCACCAGATTTGAGGTGTCACTGATTCTGGGACAAAAGAGGCTACACAACCTAGCCTAAAGAAAGAAAATAAAAGTTTATATCATAGAATATTTTGTATTAATCGTGGGTCCATCTCACCCCGCTCCCATTTTGATAAAAAAAAGTATTTCCCATTAAATCTTCTTTTTACAAGAAAGAAAACTATTTACATGGTTACATGTAACATTACATGGTTATTTGATTAATTTCAAAGTGGATTCTTTTTTCAATTAATGTTTTTATTTCAGTTAATCTATTCCACAAGCCAACTGCACATAGTTCTGGGACATGTTTTGTCCCATGTCACATGGATCGGTGATCAGTGTTGTATCATTTAAATTTGTTGAAGAACTGTTCATGCATTTCTTTTTATTACATGATTTCAGTCAGAAATTCCAACTCTGCTACTTTTGTGTTGCCAATGTATTTATCAATCTATTTTTTTTTCATGTCATTTGGATTGTACACTCACACATACTGGAAAGTTGGAGAAACTGAAGTTCTGGAACAGTGATTATTGTTCTAACAACCAAGTGGTAAACCCCCCCCCCTCCCCCCCCCACACACACACACACAACACACAACACACACAACACACGCCTCTCAAGAAGCACATGTACATTCACAGCTCAGACTGCATTCGGGCGCCTCCTACTGCATAAAGGGCACATGACACTTCCCAATCAATCACTGGCTTGCACGAAAGAAACAAAAGATTTTCTTCTCTTTCTTCCATCCCCCATTCAGAAAGAAAGCTCATACTCTCTTCTTTCCTCCCAGAAGGGTTTGTATACAGACAATTGCATAATACTAAATGAAATGAAATAAAATAGCGCCTAATCCATATATATATATGTATATAAATGAAATTATAATAAAATAATGTATTATAATTATTATTATTATAATAGGAATATATACATGTTTTTATTCCTATAATAAGGTATACATATTAAAAAGTAATAATGGGAAAAAAGAAATTATCAAGGGTATTGAGTCTGGCCCTGTTTCAAATGAACTGTTGTCTGACCTTGAAAACTGATTTTTTTTTATTTATTTCAGAGCAGCTCCAGATTGATATTTCTAGCGAGATAATGGTCACACCGTGGGTAAAGTGTCATGGTACTGAGTATCGCAGTGTTCTTGTTGTTTGCTTAGAATTTGTTGATGATGCACCTGTTTTTGGAAAGATTGTTAATTTTTATTAAGGATGGAATTTATTTTATGGCATCGTGTATGGAATCCGAGTTTGTTGAACACATTCATGCTTTCAGTGTTGTTGAACAAGAGCACAGTCTTGTACTCAAAAAAACCTGAGGAATTGATGTACTACCAGCCATTTGATTTACAAATGTCCTATGGCAAAGTCTTTTTTACATTGTTGTGGGCTGTTATTTGTAGTAATGTCATGGCATTATGGTTTCTTACTCTGCTGAAATAAAGTTTTGAAACCGTAACAGAGTAACGTTTTCTTCATAGAGAATTTCTAGTTTATTTTAGGAATGGGCCATACAAAAAGTACAATTCACATGATAAGTGAACTACAGAGATTAGAGAAGCCTGTTTAAAATGTAACTGTCATTGTAATTGTCATTTAAATATCATGACTCCAGACACATTCAGTGTGCTCATACTGATTTTTCACAGGGAAGTTTGAAAGTGACATTTTGTGACTATTTTACTATGCTTGGCTAAATATAGTCGTTTTTATTGGACAATTAAGTATGGTTGTATTGTATGCAAGTTCATTTGAACTAAACTGATTCGTCTGAACTGATCATATTTCCAAATGAGCAAAATTATATCTCGTCTATTTATTTTTTGTAATTGCAATTTGTTATTTGTAATAATGTCATGGCATTATGGTTTCTTACTCTGCTGAAATAAAGTTTTGAAACCGTAACAGAGTAACGTTTTCTTCATAGAGAATTTCTAGTTTATTTTAGTTTTTTTTTTTTAGTAGGTAATGCAGAACCATAATAAGAAAGTAACTCCCAAAAAAGTGTTCTATCAACACCAGGATGGTGTATCTTTTGACTCTTTTATAAAGTTGAGTATATTGTGATTTCCATTTTTCCAGTGTCAAGTCAACACTGGAATAGTGTAGAATTTTAACTCCGTTAACGCCAGTGTTTCCTACTAAGCTGCACTCAGCTCTGTAACAGTGTTGTTTTTATCTGACAGGCACAGCCTCGGAATCCAGTTTTTGTTGAAAGTGGAGGAGTTTAATAGTTTAATTGCTGGTCATGTTACTTCTCCAGGCCCGGTTCTTCACGGCTATTGAAGGGTGGGCTGGCAGATATCCTGGGTGGGCATTTTTAGTCATCACATCATCATATATTCTAGAAGATATTTATACTGTAGATATTGCTATATTAACTATATTTTATGTAGGCTACACTGAAAAAGCTTTCATGGGCAGCCTAGAATATCATGCACTTTCACAGCAAAATAAACTTTTTTTTCTTTATTGAATAGTAAAAAAAAAAGCCCTCTTTGTTCTCTTTCTCTGGATTATTGTTTCAACACTGGTGATTCTTTTCAACTAACTTTATTTATACAAAATAAGGCCGTAATCATGTCTAGAACAAGATAGTTTTGAGGAAAATATAAAGACCAGACCTCTATGCTAATGGCACTTATTTAAAGAAACTAAATAAATAAAAGATTTAAATGGATTTAGGGGAATAAATTAAAAGAAGAAAAAAGAACAGTAAAAGAACAAGAATAAGAATTTTTGTCAAGTAATCAATCTGAACTGCAAATAATATTTTTATTTTAAAATATGCACCCATTCAATTTCAGTTGTATTGTTGAAAACGCAAAACAGAAAAATGCGATTGTCATAATCAATTATGAATTAGGCTACATGAATAACGTAAAGACCTAAAACTGCGGAATTTGACATAAAAAGTCGAATAGTTCGCATCACTGGCCGTTTACGTCATTGAAAGGGAGCGACTGTTGCTATAGTAACGAACGCAACTTTCATTGATAGCATTGATAACTTTATACTTATGATAGCGCGCGAATATTTCTGCCCGCTTTCGCTCGTTGTCAGCCTCTGCAACAGACTGAAGCCGCGTGAATTCAGCGCGCCTTGCATGCAGCAAATAAAAGAAAAATGCTGCAATTTTCTGGTGTTATTTGATTATTGTTGGGGCAGTCTCCAGCTATATCTTAAACTTCTCAAAATACAGTCCGCTTCAGATTGGTTTTAATCACTGCATAAAAAAATAAACGCAATCTTTATCTAAATCTGTTTGGATGCATTCTCCTTCATGGCTGTTGAGTTCCTATATAAAATAATAAAACATAAAGAAATATATAGAAATACTCAAATAAAAGATGCTATTGATATAATGTGATATGTCAAATATAGCAATTAGCATTGCACAAAAGTTATGTTTTGATCTCGTATGATTATTTCCTGAAGTTGTTGAATCTCTTACATGCTTTGGGTTTTGTTTGAATGTCTCTGTAATAATGTTCAGTAGTCACACACAAAAGGACTTCATGATCTAAATGTCTTTGGAAATGCTGTAAGTGGGACATAGACATGCAAACATGTGGACTATAATGAACAGATAAGAAAGTCAACAACTTTTAGAGGTAGAATGTGAATGTAGAAGGTGAATGTTTATGCATTTATTATTTTCTGCTTTTAATTTGATTCAGTTAATGAACAGACCTGATGGACAGAACCAAGTCCCCTTATTACTTTTTGCTTTTTTGATAATCTGTTACACTCAGATGTGTCACAATTTCTCTGCAACTTTAATTCACACTTCTACTAACGTATTACAGTAATAATCACAGCAACATGGGTACCTTGCTCAAGAGCGCTTCTGGGCTCATTCTGTTGCTAGTCCTGGGCTTTGGCCACCTGATACTTTGGAGTATCCCCCACTTGTTAATCTACCTTATTAAGGACAATTCATTTATAAGGGCAATATATATATATAAATGAGAAGATGTTGTTATACATATATTTGAGTGAAATGTTCATCTCGGCGTTCGCCTGCGTGTGCACATCTTTCGCTGCGTGACGGCGAATAAATAAAAGCGCGTGGGCGTGGACACGGACACTTGACTTCAGCTTTCAAACGAGGCAGAAGTGGAGAACAGCATCTCGTTTGGCAAGAATAAAGCAGCTCGCTCTGCTCCTGAAGTAAAAATACCTCTGATTCGTGTTATGGCAAGGGGAGAGGGAGCCGAACAGTTCTCATCCGGTTTGTTACCTACAGCCAAAACTGTCAATCAAGATGGAATTAAA